CATTATAAACCAAAAGTCATTATAAACCATTTTTGAGCTTGAATACGAAGAACGTGGAGCGCATGCAATACAAAGCATTAGATTTAATTGACAATAGTCAAACTACATAACATAGACCTAAAATTTCTACAGAGAAAGTAGAAATTTGGAACCGATTTTAAGCGGTCGTTATTCCACATGCATACATATATTACCTTTAATATCAATTTAGGTCTATTTATTGCGCCCCACGCTTTTCATTTTCAATCTCATAAATGATTTATAATAACTTTTGCGAAAATTTCAAAATCAAAAGTTATCAAAAGAAATTCTATGGGACTAAGAAATATTATTTTCTACTTTTAAGTCCATTTATAAAAGGGTTGTATATTAAAAAGTTTTTTATATTATTTATTTTCTACTTTTTAGTCTTGTCTGTATAAAATTTTGCAATAGATATTAAAGTAATTCAACGATATTAATAGATTGGTGCACACACATGCATATACATATCGTCGTTTAAAGTACAAAAACCGCGTATCGTCATTCTGCAAAACCGCGTAACTGACATTTGTTGCCAAAAATTGGATTTGCTCACACAAGCTCTTGACTCAATCCTTATCCATTCGTCCTCAAATATATTGGCCAGAAATACGATGGCTTTATAAAAAGAGAACCATTTTGAAATATTAGTGTTTTTACTCTCTAGAAAAAAATGTATGCAACCTCACATACGCGGTTTTGCGTTTTCTTGATACGCGGTTTTGTACTTTAAACGACGATATGTATTTACATACGTACGAGCACCAATAAATTTCATTTAAAGAAATGGCGTGTAGTCCATTTCCGTACGCTACAGCAGTAATGCATAGGGCGACATCTACCTCTCAACCGACGAGGTTGATGTCTAGACTTTTTTATAGGAACTCTGCAAAGCAAAGGTTTTATAGCTGCCTGTCTGGACAAACAACATTGCAAGTTACTGGACACACAACATTGCAAGTTGATAAAAGCGTTGTAATAGTAAAATGGTCTAAAGCAATACTAACATTCGTCACTACTGTCGGTAATAATTAAGATATCCATTGAAGCATTGCAATCCACATGCATTGTTGGTTTATTTATTAGACTTAAGTCCATTACTTTCTCAAATTCATCGTTTTCATGATTACTTTTATCAAAGAAGTAACTAACATTTTTGGCTCGCTCATTCTCGGGCATAAGCTCCATTTCATTCTCCATTACTTTCTCAAATTCATCGTTTTCATGATTACTTTTATCAAGGAAATAACTAATATTTTGAGCGTCCTCATTCTCGGGCATAAGTTCCATTTCATTTTGATGCTCTACTATTTTTGGTGAAGATTGTAAAAAGTTGCGTTCTTTGAAACGATCTAAATGTGTTTTTACTGGTGGTGACGCTATGGCGGTGAACAAATTCAGCTGTTTGGCTTTTTTCGTTAAGCTATGCAGTTTATGGCGCTTTTCATTTACCAAAGCATCGAAACTATCGTCCAATGATATGCGTTTTGATAATGGAGAATTGTTTGCTTCTTTCTGAGAACAAATTGATAAGTTTCTTTTCTGGGTTATTAAATCTAAATCATCTTTGATACTCCACTCATTCAGTAAAAGACTCAAATCTTTCGAAATTGGCTCGTAATGTAATGCCCGCCCTTTATGTGTTGTTAATCCCGCAAATCTGTTGGTGACACGGACGATGCCATTTACAATGTCTGATATATTGTGGGTTAACTCATCGCAGTCACTTTCTAAATCCGACGGCAACGTTTTGGTTATTGGTGTAGAGCACTGTGTCGCTGCAGGAAATGCATTTTTATTTTTAACAGGTGAATGAAATTTATCTGGCATACTCGAATGTGGTGAATGTTTCTGCTGTTTAAAAAATTTATCAATCAACTGCAAACCTTTTTTATTGTTGTTCGCACGTTTTGGGGGCCTTTTGGGTTTTTGTTTAATACTTTTAGCTACTTCTTCGGTGGCAGTTATTAAATCTGAAAGATTTTCTAGCGAACTGAGTATATCTTTGCCAGTCGTTTTTCCTTTCCGACGACCTTTAACTGCCTTTGGCGGCTTTTCTTTTGATTTCCTGAACGCCGCCACAATATTTGGATAGGCATTTTCAACTAAGCAATATGGCTCTATTGTACTCCACAGTGCTAGAAGCCCCTTTGGATTTTCTTGCTCGAAAGCCTGTAGCTGTTCCTCTGGTATGAGACCATTAAAGAAACCCCGCTCATCCTGCCAAATAATCTCAAGGCTTATAACTCCACGCACAGTTCGTTTTTTAACTATTTCTTTTACGGATATATACGCGACTGCATTCAATTCAATTACTCGTTGCATGTTTTGTACCTGCCAACGTGCTAGGATTGGCAGAAATTTTTGAAAGCAGTAAATTTCTGTCCATTGCAAAAGGTGACCAATTTGTTTTATAAATTTTACAATGCTAGGTTGTCCCCAAACCAAATTTAATTTAGGAACTGTAAAAGGTTCAGTGAGAAATTCGGCAATTATTTCTTCAGATGGAAACATGGGGTCAGCCAAAGCTTTTCTACGTAGTGAAAGCTCCGATTTCAAAGACAAGCGTTCTTCCCTAAAAAAAGCAAATATTAGCAGTTTAAAACTTATGAAAATATAGGATTGTCTTGCAATGAATGTTAAGAGTTGTACTCACTTCCAGAGGCTTTCATCGCATCCACGACTGGTGCGACAGATACCACAACCACTTTTTGTATGACTCTGGGTTCGTCCCATGTGCCCACAATTACTGCATACCATTTTATCATCAACACGCATTTCCAAGGCAGAATATTTACTGTCCTCATTCCTCCAGGATCTTATTCTAATATATACAATGTAAATATTTTAGAACAAACACTTTCAATCATTTGTCCCTACCTATCTAAGATTTCTATTTCTTTGTATTTATTGAATAGTTTAAGTACTCCATCACGTCCAATGCCACCAATACCTTCGGGACAATAATCACATCCACAGAGTAGCGCCATTACAATGGTCTTGTGCTGACCAAAATCTAATGTGCAGAATTAAAATGATTTTATCAGTTACCAGATGTGTTCATTACACAATTATACCAACCCATCTTTTCCTTTATTCGTTGCATATCGTAAATATCCACTGCTCCGCCTTGAGCAGCTTGTGCACCTTGAGTGGAAACTGAAAAATTACGATAGACACGCACAGCGCCGTAAGCAAAGCAATCCGAGTCCTGGCTGATTACGCCATCTACTAACTGTAATAGAATACACTCGTTTAATAGATTTGCTAATTACAAGGCAAATTCAATTATTACCCCATTTTTATTGAGAAAAGCGCAATAAGCTTCGGCTTCTCCTGGCGCTTGGATACACTGTATACCCATGGATTGTAACAAGTTTTCACATTGTTTTAGCACATGATTAAATCGAGTACGCCCTTTATCTTTATCTTTGGGTTGAGATGGCTGTGTCTCAGTTTTCTTGCTTTGAGTTGGTTTTACCCCGCGAAACTGCAACTCAACACGTTTTGCGATTACTTGACTTTTTAACTTGGGCGCCGTTCCTTCCAGAACGAAAACAGGTGTAACATCCTCCCAGATAAGGTAGCAAGTGCGAAAGAATAGGTTTCTTTGAACGGAAATATGTGTAAGTGAATTCTATAAAGGAATTACGTATAATATTTATGTGCTTACATACTTTAAATGATGTCTGGGATGTACAAAGTAATCAACCACATTCAAGCTTTCGCAGATCCAACCAGCCAAGTCAATAGCAACTTTTTTCCCACGTAATTCGCAAAGGGGTTTCCTCTCGGCATGTGGGGTTAGTACTGACCAAAGGTCCTTCACACCCATTTTCTCAACTAAACACACGATTTTACATTTATTATGTCAAATAAAAGGTAATATGCTTTCGCGGTTTTCGGCTAGAGCACCATTTTCAAATTGTTATCAAAAAATGTCAAAATATGACAGCTGCTGTCCTGTAATAAATTTTGAGAAATGACCCAACAGGAATATTTGGGCCAAAGTAAAGTCGACACGTTATATGATGCAGCGCATATATGTATTACATATATGATGCAGCGATTCTTATTTGGTTTTGAAATTCTTTAAATTAAATAACTCATGGGCTATCCCATTGAGAAAGGTGGGCCAATTTACTCCAGAATGTTATCAATTGTGATTTATAACTATGTGGTCGGAAGTTATAGGGCCTCCGCACACTAGACTGCTCAGTCCGCTTAAAACCGGTTTTGTGTGGATAAGAGGGGGAAGAGAGTTCGAGTTTACCTGGTTCATCTCAGTCCGCGAAAATCGCGGATTAACGGTGAACTGACACGCACTTAAAGCATAAACAGACGGCAGCGTTGATCCGGATCAAATCGGGAATTAACTGCAGTTGATCGGGATTAAGTCCGAGTTAATCCGGACCAACGCTGCCGTCTGTTTAAGCTTTTAGGCATTGAAGTTGGCTGCAGAAAACGGCGAAGCTCTGTAGTCGTAGTTCACTCTCTCATTAGTAATTCGCATTCCAATTACCCTTCGAATTGCGTAATTCGCCATACAAAATTTTCAAAGTGAATAACCTCATAATCCATAATTTAATACGGAAACTTATACATTTTTAGGAATAAACTACATGTATTTTGTCGGTGGTTTATTTCAGTGATTTTTAAGCGATTTTCAATAAATTTTTTGTGCAATTGTAATTAAAATGAAGTGCGCGGTGATTGGATGCAAAAACACGTACAAAAATTAAAAATTTGTTAGCAGAAACATGTGCTACAACATTGCTTGCATTTTTTTCTTTATGCTTCGTCTTCATATTCTTTGTTTACCTTTCACAGAAAGTAACATGGCGCCGAAATTACAAACGTCAGCCAGAAAATTACTTTTTTCTTTTGCTTCATCATGTCAGTTCTTGTGTAGTTGGATCGTGGAAGGTATACCTATATTATATATGTGCCGATGTTCTACAATATAGAACCTACATATTCCGCAATCGATTATAAAACATCGATATTTTACGACTTATCGTCGATAACATCGAATATCGATGAATAACGGGCATTCTTAGTACATAAGTAATTGTTTACGAAATTTGCGCCAAACTTGCAAATCAAGCAAAATTTATTTTTTACCATTCGCCATCGATTTATAAAGCATATAAGCGTAAAATTTTATGTAGTTGAATACAAACCTTAAAATATGGATGAAATACGTAAGTTTGTTTAATAAAATTCTTGGAACTATTTATTCATAAGTATGTACATATGTACGCTTCCACTGAAAGGATATATCAAGCGGAAGGAGAAGGCGCGAAATGAGGGCAACAGTCAGCAACTGGCTATTTGTTGCAATAATTTGGGTGACTACTACAATCAACAAGGTAAATATAGAAATGCGGTCAATGAGTACCTGCAAGAAGCCGAAATTTATGCGAAACTGGGTAAGAAGTTGGAAATGGCGAAAGCGCATCGAATGGTTGGTGAAATGTTTATGCTGATTAGTGAGTTTGGCAAAGCCAAGGAACATATAAACTTATACCTCGGTGAGTGAATTACAGATTTGAATTACAATTGAATTTAATTTAACTATTATTTAAAGATATCGTAAAGAAGTTACACAATAAAGTTGAAGAGCAGAGGGCTTATGCCACTTTAGGACGTGCCCACCTGTTGCATGGCCAAAGCACTGTTGAGAGTTCGGCGTCTACTACAATGGAGCAATTGCGGCAAGCCGAACGTGCATTTCTCAAGAGTTTACTCTTAATTAAGGAGTGAGTGCATATACATTTGTTTCTTATCCAAGTTTATATGCATACATACATATATATGCTTATACCTATAAAAGTATATAAGAAAATGGTTAATAGGTAAATACATATGTATTTTCTTCCAGACTTTCAGGTCAGATTTCGAAACTGGAGCAGTTGGATATGCAAGCGCGCTGCTACCTAAACATTGGCGTTGTAAAAGAGCATATGGAAGAATTCGAAGAGTCAATTTCATACATTGAAAAAGCTATAAAAATAACTAAATTGAACGATATATTCGAATTGACACACTTATGTTACATTTCGATGAGTCTGCTATATTTCTACAAAAAACATGACTCGACATTAGCGCTACGTTATTGTAACCTGGCTTTGGAAGTTGCGAAACGTTTACCGAATAGGGTCAAAAAAATTTGCGAAACGCTCATTACAAAATCTGAGATTTTAATTAAAGATAGTGACTTTGCAAGTGCAAAGCAAATACTAACTAAAGCATATAAAAAGAACACACCTGACGAGAACGATCGGATCACAATTGAAAAATCGCTGCGAGTAGGTTGGTCCAATGTTAATCAAAAACAAAATATATATGTAGATAATTACTAATCTCTGTGTTATTAATTTGATATACTATTACTAGTCGTTAAAATATGTCAAATTTTGGATGAATTAGTCACTACCAGCTCAGTTGACTATGCAAAGCGTAAAAGTTTGTTTGAGAAACTTGGTGATGGGTGTTGTCAATTGCAAAACTACTCTAAAGCTATTGAGTATTACCAGCAGATGTTGAACTGCGCTGAAAAAAATGCAGAGCCCGAAAAAAACCTAATACCGATTTATGTGAGCCTCTATCAGACTTACAAAGATAATAAAGAATATGACCAGGCACTGGTCTACTTATGGAAGGAATATGAACTGAATAGAGATGTACCCTCGGAAGCATTCTCTACACTCTGTACCATTGCTGAAGTGTGCGAGCAACAGCGACAATCTTTTTGGACAATACAGGACATATACCAAAAAGCGAAGCAACAAGTAGCCAAAAACGGAAGTGATCGGGAAAGGATAAAGCATGAGCGTATCGTTTTTGTGCGCCTTAAGCGGTTGATGCTGAAGCACAAAATGCAAATGCTGGCTGATGAACTGTTGGAAGAAGCAAAAGAAAAAGGTTAGAATTTGTTTGATGTAATTGATGAAATGAATGCGATTATACATGTTGTTGTTGTTGTTGTTGTTGTTGTTGTTGTTGTTGTTGTTGTTGTTGTTGTTGTTGTAGCAGCATACAAATTCCCCAAAGACTTTTTGGGGAGTGTTGCTGCGATTATACCTCTTATGTATACATGTGCATATATAAAATTTTGGTGTATTTATACCACTTCATATCCAGGGATACACTTAAATCTTGACGACGATGGTAGTGATACTGAATCAGATGCCGACCCGGCAGCAAGTAACGAGGAAAATACCCCCGAACTGGGCGATGACGTTTGCCTTGATGATCTCACTGACTCGGATATGAGCGATTTAGATGAGACTGAAAAACCAAGGCCACATCGGGTAACGCGGGGAGTGCGCGCTCTGACAGTTAAGCGGAATAATAAAGGAGAAACTCAGTTGCACCAGGCGTGCATAGCGGGAAATATAGAACTAGTGCGCCGACTGCTCGATCAGGGGCACGTAGTAAATGTGCGCGATCACGCCGGTTGGATTCCTTTGCATGAAGCCTGTAATCATGGTTATCGCGATATAGTAGAACTGTTACTAGATCGCGGGGCAGCTGTTGCTATTAACGATAAAGGCGGTCTGAGTTGTGATGGCATAACTCCACTTTACGACGCCTGTTCGAATGGGTTTCTTGATGTAGTTGAACTTTTATTAGACCGTGGCGCTGATGCTGCTATTAAGACAGATTTCGGTGAAACATGTTTCAATGGTTTAGATAAATGGAGGCGTTCAGCTCCTTTAACTGAGGGTGAACAAGCGCAGTATGAAATGATTAGAGAGAGATTATTGACCACACTTTCTAAGACCGGAATTTGTAAGAAACCATTAGCTCCTCTAACAAATGCGCAAGTTGAATCTGCATCAGAAGAGGGTTCAGATAGTGGTGATAGAACGCTGGTGGAAGAAGAATTGCGTAGTAACGGTCGTGTACGTACTAGTTTGAATCGTTCTGGCGAAAACAGAAGAATTTCGAAGGTACTTAACAACTATAAATACTAATACTTATTCTTTACTATAGCTGATGAGAGAAATTGTTGCTAAGTATTTTTAAATTTTATATTATTTGTTTATAAGGAGCATAAGAAAAAGTCGCCCAGAGACAAATCTGCTGGTGTGGAGTATAAAACAATAATGGCCCAATTGAAGCACCCGAATCGTGCAAACGCTCTTGATGATGATACTTTTGAGAGCTTAAGCTGTGGTCCCAGTACTTCCAATGCACAGAAATCTCGACGAAGCGCTTTACTGGATGAAGATGAAGTAGATGATGAGAATTGGCTAATCGATGACATAGGCCCAGAACGCAAAAAGCGACGTTTCCACACACCTACCAAAGAAGCAGCATCGTCATCAAAAGAAAATTTAAATGCTGAATCAGGAAATTCGACTTGGTCTGCAGATGATCTATTAGCAGCCGATGATGCTTTTCATGTACTCTTCGATGCAGCAACCGGTTCCACGAAGTCGCAACGTCAAAAACAGACACGAAAATTACGTTTATCAGGTTCGTCCAATATTAGCACCAGCTCGAATTTATCGAACAGTAAACAAATTAAAGCAAAGCATCAATCATCTTTGCTTGAGAATGGTTTCTGTCGCTTTCGCAGTGAGAGTCCACGATCTATAGAAGATTCTTTTGATGTGGCAACAACCAATTCATTTACAAATGAGCCAGACTCAACAACCTCCATACATCTACTCATATCCCCTTCAAAATCATCACCAGTTAAAATACAAACAACGCAAGTTATTCCAACAACAATTTCATTTAAAATAAAAGTAGAAAATGAATTGTTGTTAGTGCCAGTTGAACGTAAGAAGTTGAATGATGTTAATATACGCTGGTTGGCTGAGGAGGCAGCACGCCGATATTACAAGTAATTTTAAATTTGTATATTTATATACATAAAAACCAAATGCAATATTAAATAAATGTTTTTAATATGTTTTTCATTCCAGCTTAGTGGGTTTAAAACCAGTGCTGCGTTTGAAGACCGCAGATGGATTTGCATACGAAGAGAATGATTCAGTAAATGTGGCGGTCGAGCAGAATATGATTTTAGCAACGGTGCTGGACTGGCAGATAGCACCGCTTGCTGAGCGCTACGAAGAAATGTGCCATCAGATGAAGAAGGGTAAGTTAATTCCGCATTTAATACGCAGCAGATTTTTATTTTAATAAATAAATACAAATTATTTTAAATAAATGATTACATAAATAATACAAATCTCATGTGACTTCACAGATTTTTCTATTTTGAATATTTATTCCAATTAATTTGATATCTTCTAAAAACATGCAATCGCAAGTATAGAAGGCCTTTTCCGTTAATTTTCCTAAAAAATCTAAAAAAATTTGGCATTAAATACTTACTTTATTAACTTATATTTTCTTTTACAGATGTCAATAGCGAAATACTGTCCGCTTTGGAGCAAACACAAACGACAAATGTTATCTGCCTAACTGATTGTTGGTTACCACCGCCCTTGACCGAACCGTTCTTCAAAGCTGTGCTGCACCAGAGTAATTTACGTGTCATAAATTTAAGCCATAATTTTATACAAAACGAAGGCTGTCGGCAGTTAGCTAAACCCATACCAACATTAAAACAGCTCAAAACACTAAACTTGCAAGGTAATTTTATAACTGCTGAAGGTGTAGATATTTTGCTCTCAACGCCAGGCGGACTTGAGGAACTGGAGGAATTAAATTTGAGTCAAAATCCACTAGGCAATGGCAGCTTGCGGATGCTGGAACGTTTTTGCAACAGCAGTGCTGCAAAATCGTTACAGACACTTTCGTTATCAAATTGTAATTTAACAAATTTGTACGACTATGACCTGGCCTTTTTTCAATTGACTGCCATCGATTTGAGTTATAACAAACTCACGGATGAATCGTTGCGTAAACTTTTAACCAAATTAAATGCATCACGCTTAAGAGAGTTAAATTTGAGCTATACGCAAGAGAGTACCTGTGCGGATGAGCGTAATGCCGTTACGAATGCAGAGCAAATAACAGTGTTTTTTGAGAGTGGCACATGCGAGAAGTTTCGACGCGTTCAACTCTGTGGCTGCCATTTGAGCGACATGAATATGTACAAAATAACTCAGAATTTACAAAAAGCAAACGATTTAGAACTACTTGAAATAAGTGATAATACAAAATTAACCGGAGCTGCCTTACAAATGGTGTTTGCTAAATTACCCCAATTACGAAAGTTGTGCGCGATAAATTGTTTACATGTTTTAGATGACGAACGTTTGGAGAAATTGGAACAGTGCAAGCAAATACCAAATTTTCTATCGTTCACATTGGAGGCCAATAAAGACGATTACGAACGGCGTTTGCGTCATCTGTGGCATTTGCATTGGGGCGACAAAGCGCATATAAAAGCCTACTCCGATTGCATATTGATGTATATAAATGAGCAGGATCTCCAGCAACATTGGTAACTAATGCCAACCAGTTACTAGCGAATGGTCACGTTAATATCTGCCTATAGATAGATAGATAGATTATATATTTTTTAAATCATCCATACATATGTATGTATACGTGTTTAAAGAGAATTTTTATTCTGTTGAATGTTTTAAATGTTTCGTGTGTTGTTCTGGGTGACTTCCATTGTTAAAAATATGTATGTTTTAGTACGAATAGCTTGTTACGAGCAATCATAATTTTGCCTGATAAGTATTACAATTAAATATGTATGTAAATAAAATTTGAAAATATAATGGCGTCAATTGCATTTAATTTGAATGTATTTCATCTTTGAGCTTTTCAAAGAGTTTTAAATTACATACATATGAGCCGTTTATTTTGAAAGTGGCATTAATTACTTTATTTTAAATCGATATACTTACATTCAATCATATTTTTATAAAAAATTTGCGAAAAATAAAATATTTAAAAAATAATTGCAAGTATTGCAAAACCTTCGCTGTACCTTAACTTTATTGACTGACTGTACATATGTAAGGGTTTGCATTTTAATACGTTTAAAAATATTGATGCCAACTTTCGAGAAAATCTACTTGTATTTTTCATCTTAGGATACGAAAAACTGCGATATTTTAGTAACTACTGAAGATTATTCACTCAAAATTGATATTTACAATACTTTTAAGAGGAAAAATAAGTATATTATAAATTTTTGAAAAATGGGCGTAGCCCACTTATGGTTACATGTGTATCTTTTGGCAACCGCTGCACCGATTTCTTCCAAACTTGGCACAGTTGTTGGCATTGGTACAGCATACCAAATGGACGAAAATTGTTAAAATCGGACAATAACCATGCCCACATCCCATATAACGGTAATTTGGAGAAATACGAAATCTTTGATAAATCAGTAAATATTAAAGCTACTGTATTCAAAATTGACGCTTGCAACAACTCTTTACCAAGAAATACGTTTATGATAAAATTTTGGAAAATGGGCGTGGCACCGCCCACTTATGATCGCATATATGTATCTCGGTAACCGTTCTACCAGCCCGAACTTAGACTTTCTTACTTGTTGTAAATAAATTTCTCAGTTTTAAGATTGTTTTATTAAAATTTTGTGTGTGACTGTTTTTCAATATTATTTTAACTATTTCTGAAAATCATCGAAATCGGTTAACTGTAACATATAGCTCCCATTAAACTGATTTTTCATATAGGAGGTTTTTTTAATAAGAAATTTATCGATAATCAGTTGCATGGGAGCTAAATGCTATAGTAAACCGATTTCGATGACTTTCAAAAATTGTAATATTAAAAAACCGTCACGTACAAAATTTTGCAAATACAATTTTAGGGAGTTATTTAAAAAAAGTTAAAATTTTCAATTACCATTACCTCGGAAATTGGATCCAATTCAGCAAAACGGGGACGCCATTGAATTTAGAAGGCCCCAATTAAGTACGATCAACTACCAAAATCTTTGTACAAGATCCGAGCACAGTGTTATTAAATATACAAAACAAGAGAGTTTTGATAGTTTGAGATAATTTAAGATACGGAAGACTAAAAGTACAAACAGAATCAAATCTCTCAGAGAAATTCGTCGGAAGAAAGTTCGCTGCTAAAATTAAAACACACTGCAGTATATGAGATTGTCTCCAACTTACGACGAAATTCGGCAATAATAGATTTATTTTTAATTTTGCCGTTGTCACCGGTCATAAAATCAGGTCTCAGTGGAAAAGTAGCTTTGTTTCCTCATTTTTCTGGCAGATAATTAACAGCAAGAATCAAAATGGTAAATTTTGCTGATTCATCTTTTCGCTTTTGTGTTTTTATATTTTTTGTTTGTCATTCAATTGATGTTAATTTCGTTTCTGTTCTATTTTACTGGGCGAAATGTTGCGGCAAACATGACCCGGCGGCATCGCTCCGACCGGCGAAATTCGCACAGCGATTTGGTTCTGTTTATACTTTAAATCTTCTACCATCCATTCATTGTTATTTTAAGAAAAACGCTCTCAGATTTTTCCAGTTTTCGCCTAGCTTCGATGAAAATCTACTGATAAAAAGTTTTATCGTATTTTATCTCTCAGTATCTCAGTATCTCACATCAAGTAGGAATAATCTAGAAAAAAATTAGAAAAAAATAGTTGCACAGAATTATGCAGATAGAAGCTGTCATATTTAGAACCTATAGGGCCATAGCGTGATATATGTACATGCATACATTTTAGACTGGGGCCAGATGGGGACATACTACTTTCACACTTATAATCATTTTCGACGTTTTTTGCAACTATTTGCATTTATAGTTGTAAAAAACTTCGAAAATTATGATCATCATTGATAATGCCATCTTAATATATACTCGTTTTTTTTTGATATTCACAATATTTTTCAAGTAAATTTTTTTTGCTATTTTTCTATAAAAATATTACTCAAGCTTTAGCAAAATTTAGGAAAATTCATAGAATTTTCATCAAAATTTAAAGCGTTTTAATCTGAATATTTACAAAATTTTTATGTATGCAGTTTTATTATATCCCATACAATTTTAGTCAAGCGTCTAAAAATCGCGTTGATTTTTAATAAGTATTTTTTCTGACTTATTTTTGCAATTTTTTCCTTATAAGCATGAATTTCTTATGAAATAAAATGTAACAAAATTTCAAAAAATCAACTCCAGTTTTTGTAAATTGCACTTGTTCTATAAAAAAAAAATTGAAAAACTAGCCACAAACAAAAAAAGAATATTAAAAATGAACGCGTTTGATAAAAATGATGATTTTTGCTTAATTGTGTATAAAGTTTGAAACTCTGATTTATATGGGTTTGGCTAAAGCTTGGACAATATTTTTATAGAAAAAAAAAAAAAAGATTTAACATGAAAAACGTTATAAATATTAAATTAATCAACACATGAGCACTCGTGTGAGTCACTGTGTATATGTATATTTTTTTTGTACTTACCCTGATCTTCTGAAGCCATTTTACAGAATTGAATTTGGTTTTTATTTGAAACACTTTGATGAAACTTTCTCAAAAGCTGCGCTTAAAATAAGTGACGAGAGAGCGAGGTGTTCGCAGTACTATGGTAATATATGCACTTAATTCTATGGCAAACCATTCACTAATGGGACATCAAAACACATGTTCCAGAAGCTTTCAGCATTCCTCTTCCTATTCTAAATTCGTCGTTTTTTCAACTTTTGGTCAGCACTTTGCGATATGGCCCCATATCTAATGCGGCGTCAGGATTTTTTTTAGGATTTTTAAATGTCAAACATATGATAGAAAAAATTGTTCAGAATTGAAAAATACTATTTTTTGGTTCACAAGGACGGATTGGTAATGAAAATCGGATTATGATTAGTTTTTAACCGACTTCCAAAAAAGGAGGAGGTTATCGGTTCGTCGGAATATTTTTATTTTTTTTTTATGTATGTTACCGCATAACTTTGGACCACGTCAACCGATTTCGATAATTCTTTTGGCATCGGAAAGGTAGTGTCTCAGAGGTGGTCCCATACGAATGTGGTTGAGATCCGATCAGTGGATCATGAGATATATATATATATATATATATATATTTTATATGGGAGTTGAAGTCGGTTTTTTTTTGCTAAAAATTACTAGTTTTTAAGCTATTGAAGTCGAAGTACGAAATTCGAGGATACGGTCGTGTGTATATTAAGCCTTAACCTAAATTTTTTTAAATAAATATCTCCCATATAACGGTAATTTTCAGAAATACGAAAACTGCGATATTTTAGATAATTCACTAAAAAAAAAAAATTTGGACGAAAAATATTAAGAATATTATAAATTTTTGGAAAATGGGCGTAGCCACGCCCACTTATGGTTACGTGTGTATATCTTGTTAACCGCCGCACCAATTTCTTCCAAACTTGGCACAGTTGTTGGCCTTGGTACAGCATACTAAACGGCCGAAAATTCAAAAAATCGGACAATAACCATGCCCACATCCCATATAACGGTAATTTGGAGAAATACGAAATCTTTGATAAATCAGTAAATATTAAAGCTACTGTATTCAAGATTGACGCTTGCAACAACTCTTTACCAAGAAATACGTTTATGATAAAATTTTGGAAAATGGGCGTGGCACCGCCCACTTATGATCGCATATATGTATCTCGGTAACCGTTCTACCAATTTGTACCAAACTCGGTATTTTTATTGTGCTTGCCACATAAAAGCCAAACGTTGAAAATTATTGAAATCGGACTAAAATTACGGCTGCTTTTCATATAACGGTAAATTTCAGAAATGCTTGAAACTGCAATATTTCGAAATTTAAGGACGCTAATTTACTCAAAATTGATACACCCCAGCTTACCATCTAGCGGTAGGTTTCGGAAAGGGGAAAAACATATATTTAATACTTGCGCCGGGTATTTGATATTCGGCTCCGCCCGAACTTAGACTTTCTTACTTGTTGTTGGCTTTTAGGCTTCAGTGAAATAAATAGAAGTTGGCTGCGTTTAATTTATGTCAAATTCAACATGCGAAGTTTGCTGTGATGGAGGCAGTGGCAGTGAATTTAGAAATTGGGCTAAACTGAGCAGTACTGCCAGCTGCCACTGCTGTATTGTGAGTCGCTTCATTGGACACCACACTTTCTAAAAAACAGCTGATTTCGAAAAACTGCCACTGCCACTGCCACTGCGT